TATATTAATAAATTGAATATACAGAGGCTGCCTAACTTTGCTCTAAACAGTACATATCAATTCAATTGAATAAAGTTAACCAATCATGAGAAAATTATTTTATATTATATTCGGGTAAATCAACCTGTGAAACAGATCAATCGTGTATTTACTTTATGGCGTTCGATAAAATTTTACTTAAATGCATTAGTCTGCGTCGTTGATCTTAATACCGGTAATATACTGTATTTCTGCGACATGTGTACTGGGGTTTTCCCCTGGCTCATGTTATGTATTCGGGTACTTATAGAGGGGTATATTGTATGAATACTTCTATGTTTTGACATGTTTTACTATTATATGCCCGGATACATAAGTGTGATGCCCCATACTATGATGACCATTAATTAGACACTTGAGAATTTAAACTTGTAAAAAACAAATTATTCAAATTTTACATAATATAGTCTTTTATTTACTGAAAATTATTTTTTTGTAGATCATCATTTATACTTCTTTTAGTATAACTTACCCGTTTTAATAATAATTAACTTATTCAAGAAAAATGATACGTACATAAGACATTAAAAACAAAAATAGTAAAAAAAAAAAATCAATAAATAATACAATGTAATATATATTTACTTATTTCTGAGCTTCCCCTAAAATATAATCAACTTCAGCTGCTCTAAGTAATCGTGCCTCTTCTATCAATGCTTTAAAATTTTCGTCAGACAATCGTAATAAAGCATTGGCAGTAATATTTTGAACAGTAAGAAGGTTATGAGTACCCCGGGTATGATACAATTGATATACACGTGAAGCTGCTTTCCATGTATAACGATAAGTACTAATAGAAAAATTAATTCAAATAAACGTTCTAGCAGCTGAACTCCAAATTGAGCTTCCAACCATTCTCCCAAAAGATAATAACATTGAAGAAGGGAGACCTGATCAAGACGATTTTGATGCATCTTATCTCTAATAAATATGACCTAATTTTTCCAGGTTTCTTCATGTACTTCTTCGAGAGACCTGGTAGGAATATCAATTCTTTTTAAGTTATTTAAATACAATGACATCCGGGCTTGTTCTAATGAAATGGTGGTAATCTCTTGAGAGAATTCAAAGAGAATGGGTTCACCTTCACGATTATAACACATAATCGTATCATTCGTAATTCTTATTTCAGTTACTAAGGTGTCTTTTATTT